GGAACATTGGGACCCTGAAGGCAGGAAAAGGCTTCAGAAACACAGACCAAGGCCAGTCTATACTCAGAATCTAGGTATTAGCATTTCTCCAAAACCCCTTCCCATTCCACTCTCAGTCCTCACCCCCACACAGCATAGGAATCTTACCAGAACTCTTAGGCTGTATGAATTAAAGATAAATATTAACATAAAGCATAATTACTATAGCAATAAGTATAAATGCTGTCACTACCTCAGCTAACTCCACTTTCTTGGGTTTTGTTGTTGTTGTCATCACCATAGTTTATTGGCCTCTAAATCTCTCTTGATTTGAAAAAAAATGGTACCATCTCTGGGAACCACCAGTAGAAAGATGAGAAAAATACCCACATCTATAAAAGACTATATAAGCCCTGGCCAGTATGGCTCAGGTGGTTGAGCATCATCCCATGCACTGAAAGTTGCTGGTTCTATTCCCAGTCATGGTACATACCTGGGTTGCAGGTTCAAGGTTGGGGTGCCACAGGTCAGGGTGCATTCTGAAGGCAACTGATCAGTATTTCTCTCACATTGATGTTTCTCTCTGTCCATCTTCCTCTCTCTAAAATCAGTAAAAATATGTATTTTTTTAAAAGGCTGTACAAGTCGGCCCCACCCCCAAATGACATTTGAGCTCTTTATGTCATTATAGTACATGGATTTTTGCCTAATATAATATTTTCCAAACTCCATTCTGTATGCGATCTCAATTCAGACTGTCAATTTTTGTTTTGGGTGTTGTTTTTTTAGGGGGGAGAAAAAAATTAAAATAACCATAAAATTTCACAGGCATCTACTCCACCTCCGTCTCCACTCCCCCAGACAATGAGATACAACTAAGAGGTTTGGGGACTGTGTTTGGTGAGTTTATTGAGCCTTAATCACTGTTTCTTTACGTATGTGGTGTAAGCTTCACAGCTTTTTCACTAAACAAAAACATGTGTTTTCCTGAAGTTTTCTGGGGGGTTAGTGAAAAGGGACTGTTCCCTTAAAGGAAGAAACCTATTGTCTTTTGAAAATGAGGAAGGAAGGAAATGGGATCATGTAATTAACTCTCACCAGCAGCAGTGGGGAGACTCTGAGGGGAAGACAGGCCACAGTAAGACATGCCAGAGTTTATTCCTATTCCGAGCTGAGTGGTAAACTGGAGTTTGGCTTCTCCGGAAGGAGAGAGGGTGTGAAGTGACTCAGAGAAATGGTCTGTTGACTGGAAATGGAAGGAAAACGCCTGACTTGCCTAATTCATCACCCCGTTAACATTTCTTCTCAAAAGTCTCGTCTGAACCCTAAACAGACAGATCCTTTTCCATAGAATCTAAGGCCTACATTTTACTCAAAGCTACATTATTACAAAAGATATATATCCCCCTTGTTGCCCTTTTAAAAAAGTAGACCTACCACACACCTCCACAGTGTTAAAGATATTAATTACTTTTCTTCCCAGTCTTTCCATAGCATCCTCCATCCTTTTTGTAAGAAAGTCTTTTCCTTTCCGGAAGCCTTGGAGTTGAGTGACAGATGTGAGTGGAAGGGGGTACCTTCATTTCTGCTTTGTACTTTGTGCTTCAGGGAACTTGGCAAACTTGGTGAGCTCAGCTTGGCATCTAAGCTAGATCTAGTAATCTAGGTTAGGGACCTGCTTTAATTTTGTAAGCCCCTGGGAGTGTGGAAAACCGAGTGTTAAATTTCCCTTTTCAGTAGAGAGTAGTTTCCATGGTCACCAAAGAGAAGGAACTGGGACTCCAAAGATTCTTGGTGGCTCAGCTTAAAGCGTGCTTAAAATCTCTACAAGTTTAACTTCAGGCAGTGATGCTTTAGATAATAATATTTACCTAAAAATCTGTAGTTCTAGAATCTACATTGTAGTTTATCAGGTTTCTACCTACTTGGTCTGAAGCAAGAAGAAAAAGAAACCACAAATGAAGAGATAGGTAAAATTCTCTTTGAGACAGCATGGAGGGACCTGGAGAGTATCATGCTAAGCGAAATAAGCCAGTCAGAGAAAGACAAGTATCATGTGATCTCACTCATATGTGGGATCTAATGAACAAAATAGATCCAGAGACATAGAAGCTTGGAACAGACTGTCAGTCTCAGAGGGAAGGCAGGGGTGGGTGGGAAGAGATTAACCAAAGAACTTGTATGCATATATCATAACCCATGGACACAGACAAATACCCGGGGGGGGGGGGGGGGGGACGGGACGGGACGGGACTAGAAGGGGTCAATGCGGTGGAAAGGGAACATATGTAATACTTTCAACAATAAAGTTTTTCTGTCATTTTTGTTTGTTTGTTTTTAAAGCTGTGACAGCTAAAAAAAAAGAGAGAGAAAGAGAGATAGGTAAAACTCTGAGAGTGCTGTTTTGTCAAGGTGCAAATATTGGGTGTCCTGTAAAGCTGTCTTATAAAAGGTTTCATAGCCATTCACTTCAAAGAAGCCACGTGTCAACTTTAATTTTACATATAAATAGAGGACACCAGCCTATTTATTTTAGATTACATAATCTGTTTATTCTTGTAGTCAGCTGTTCATTTGGATTCAGAGACTTTGGGGACACCCATTATTGGAGCTGAATGTTGGGCTGTGGTTAGGGGAAAAAAATAAAGAAGAGGGCAAAAGAAAGTTATTTTAATAAGCTACTTGGTTTGAGTAGCACAGATTTTATTAGTTGAAAAGGAGTTAGGATGGCTCAAAAGAGGAAAAACCCTTAAATTAGTCTTTTAAAATATTTGTCATCTTGATTGTCATATCTTTGATTGAACTGGGCTTTAAACATTGGCTTTCCTGGAGGTAAGGAGATCAAAAAGCGTTCCCCAGCAGAAAAGTTTAAAAGTAATTGTCTTTATAAGCATTCATTCTTTGAAAGAACATCATTTTTTACCTCAGATTTGTGACTTCCCATTCTGCATGCTGTTGGTGATAACCTTGTCATTCAGTTGTGACCTTTGCCTCCATTGCAGATGGGGTATCCTCTTCTCCCACCCTCGGGACTTTACCCCTGTGTGTACCACAGAGCTTGGCAGAGCTGCAAAGCTGGCACCTGAATTTGCCAAGAGGAACGTTAAGCTGATTGCCCTTTCAATAGACAGTGTTGAAGACCATCTTGCCTGGAGCAAGGTAACGTTTCTATGGCTGTGCTTTGAGGTTATAAATTGTAGAGTAGAAATAAATGAAGTTTGCCCTAACCGGTTTGGCTCAGCTGATAGAGCATCGGCCTGCAGACTCAAGGGTCCCAGGTTCGATTCCGGTCAAGGGCATGTACCTTGGTTGCAGGCACATCCCCAGTAGGGGGCGTGCAAGAGGCAGCTGATTGATGTTTCTCTCTCATTGATGTTTCTAACTCTCTATCCCTCTCCCCTCCTCTCTGTAAAAAATCAATAAAATAATATTTTTTTTAAAAAAAGAAATAAATGAAGTTTTACTGGAGGGGGTGAAAGAGAGGACACAAGTATATCCTTGTCATTTAGTTCAGATTTGAAATGCTTTGTTTTCTATGTAGATTTTACTCTAGTGATTTACCTTTGACTTGTCCTTGAAGTCTATGTTCAACTCTCCATTCTTATATTTTGTGTTCTGTTCTGTTTTGTTTTTGTTTTTTTTTGTTTTTGTTGTTTTTAAATATATTTTATTGATTTTTTACAGAGAGGAAGGGAGAGAGATAGAGAGTTAGAAACATCGATCAGCTGCCTCCTGCACATCTCCCACCGGGGATGTGCCCGCAACCCAGGTACATGCCCTTGACCGGAATCGAACCTGGGACCCTTCAGTCCGCAGGCCGACGCTCTATCCACTGAGCCAAACCGGTCCCGGCGTGTTTTTGTTTTTTTAATATCTCTCTTCTGGTAGCTTAATGTCTGAGTCAGGGTGTTTTTGAGGCAGGGATCAGATCTATAAAATTATCTTTGCATGTGGCGTTGTTTCCAGATGTGATGGACTTAAGGAATGCATTATTTCTGATGGTTTTTATATTTGGAAACCCAGAGGTACCTTGGATTGGTATCTGAAACTATACTATTCGGCTTTTAAAGAGGTTATTGCTGCTTTCTTAAAGCAGTAAAAACAAGCTGCATTTTAACAGACTTGGGCACGAAAAGAGTCTATGCTTAGCCATGGCCAAGTGGCTCAGTTCATTGGGCGTCATCCCGTGTACTGAAAGGCTGCGAATTTGATTCCTGGTCAGGGCACATACCTAGATTACAGGTTCAATACCCAGTCACGGCTTGTGCAGAAAGTAAACGATTGTTGTTTCTCACATCAGAGTTTCTCTTCTCCACTCCCCACCCCCCTTTCCTCTCTCTAAAATCAATAAACATATCCTCAGGTGAGGATTTAAAAAGAAGAAAAAAGAAAAGGGGCTATGCTTATAACCTAAATATAGTACCCTATTGCTCTTCCTATCAATGAATAATGGGGATGGGGAGAGTTCATTCATTAAAATTGCTTAGAGAAATTACTATGATTATGGTCCTCTTCCCTGTCTTGCAATAGGATGGCTGTTAACAGATTGAATTCAGAGGATGTGCCTGGTTTAGATTTCTCTTTCCCCTGCATTTTAGGATATCAATGCTTACAACTGTGAGGAGCCCACAGAAAAGTTACCTTTTCCCATCATCGATGACCGGAATCGGGACCTCGCCATCCTGTTGGGCATGCTGGACCCAGCAGAGAAGGACGAGAAGGGCATGCCTGTGACGGCGCGTGTGGTGAGTTATCGAAGTCCATTCTGGAGTCCTCATGACTGGCCAGGCTGTATGTCCGTGTAAATGCTTGGAGCACCTAGAGGAAATAGGCGAATATATGTTAATGTCTACATATTTCCTCGGGGAAATAACTGTACTGGTAGCAATCTCACTGATTATGTGCAATGCTCATGCTAAATTTTCAGCTAAAATTTTAAACTGGGTAATTCATAGCTTATGGAAACCTACTTCTAGAATTGAGTAATCTTTCCTATATCTCTCCTGACAACCTCTCTTTAATGGGATGGGTCATGTCCTTCGTCCTTGGGCAGCTCTGGTTTTGAATTCTGGTTAGTTCTGTCCTGAAAACAAATTTAGTCCCTCATCTGCAAAAAGTACAACTACGTGAGGGCCAGTGTCCACTCCCATTAGTATTTTTATGATAATCACCCCTATTTAACATAGTACCAGCCAGAGCCCTTTCCTGGATTCAGTTTGCATATCAGTTTTTCTTACTGGGACAACCAGAAACAAATATAATCTCCTTTTAAGTGCAGAAGAATAACATGAACACTGATATATACCTGAGGCTAATACAATACTATAGGTCATTGTAATCAAAAAGTTAAAAAGTATATTTTTATAAAAAGGGAAATGACATGGAGAAGAAAAGTGTCTGGGTTCCTGCCCCCCAATGAAGTTTGGTGTGCCATTTTAGATATTGGGGAATTTTTTTCGTTCGCTTTGTGTTTATACCTTCGAACATTTGTCATGACAGGCAAGCATTCCAAGAGGCTGTCATATCAAAGAATTGTCCTATTTAAGTGTCTGTGTGTTTACAGGTGTTTGTTTTTGGCCCTGATAAGAAACTGAAGCTGTCCCTCCTCTACCCCGCGACCACCGGCAGGAACTTTGACGAGATTCTCAGAGTAGTTATCTCTCTCCAGCTGACAGCAGAAAAGAGGGTCGCTACTCCGGTTGATTGGAAGGTAAAGATGCTAAAGGGCAGGTCCCCAGCGCACAAGAAAGGCCTGTGTGGCTAATGTCCAGTGGCCACCCTCGGGCTCTCTGTTTCCAGCGCGCAAGTCCCCTGGGAGGATTTTTCCTCATGGCTGAGTTTAAGATTTGCTGTTCAAGGTCTTTAACACTTTTATATAAAACACAAACTCCCATATTGCTTTCTAGCTTTTAGCTTATTTGGGCAGATTAATTGGTCAGAATGATTCCCTTTCCTAATAAAAGGATTTTTTTTAAAACTTTAATCCTTCCCTGATGGCAAAATATTTACAATAAAACTTAGATTGGCCACTTAAGTCCTGGCTATAAAACTTTTTGGTGTCTTACTGTCCTGAAGTATTTTCTTCTCTTAAGCTTCATTAAACCTCTGTGGAATTCTGACACTTGTTTTCAAGCTTACAATCTCTAGGATTTCTGCAATATGTAAGACATGGATAATATCACAAGAATATTTTAATGTCGCTACATTTTTAAAAATATGCTAACCTGAATACCAGTTTTTGTTTTTCTGATTAAGTATATCAAATAAAATGCTGTGTCCATTCCCTGAACATACATTTATTGAGCCCAGATGTAGCCATGAGCAATAAAGTTCCAGACCTCTTAGGCTCACATTCCAGTGGTAAAGACAGACAATAAACTAGTTTATAGTGTATTAGGTGCACAGAACAATGGGGAGCGGAGGGGAGAAGGGGAGTACCAAGGTGGGAAGGCTGGCTTTCTGCCTGGCTCTCAGGGGGGCCTAGTGCAGGAAGCTTTACCTGAGGGTGAGCATAGCATGTTGGAGGACCATGGTAAGTCAGAGAACCTGGGGATCTAAAGTTCATTCTCGCCTTCAGGCTTTACCATTGGATTTCACCATCCTCAATGTCTGTCCGTAGGTTGGAGATAGCGTGATGGTCCTCCCAACAATCCCTGAAGAGGAAGCCAAGAAACTCTTCCCTAAAGGAGTCTTCACCAAAGACCTCCCATCTGGCAAGAAATACCTGCGCTACACGCCCCAGCCGTAGGTCTCACCCTGCACAGTGAGCCAGCGGGTGCCAGCTGCCAGTCATGTGTCCTACAGCGATTCCATAGAAACATCCCACTATGATTACAGCCACGGTCTCTAGGTTGCTGTCCTCCTGGCTTATTAAATGAAAATGGCACTAAACACCCCTTGGGGTTCTTTGCTTCGTGCCTTCACCAGCATTCTGTTCTGTTCCCATGCCTCAGCCCTCTCTCCTGGCTCTCTGAAATACAGTCTGTATTTGAGACTCACATCATATCAGATCTCTGCAGGTTTGTGATCAGCAACGTAGGATCCACTGATGGTTGAAAAGCTGCTTTGCTCCAGCCTGGAATGACCATCAGGTTTTTTAGCTGTTCTAATCAAATCCTCTCTTCCATTACACATTTTGGGGAGCAGCAGAACTTGAGGTTCAGTTTCCTCTGTTAATCTGTAAGTATATAACCCTAGCAGTTAAAGTAACCGGATATTCTTCAGTACTCAGTGTTTTGATCACAACTGAGGGAAAAGATTTCCGTTCTGTACTTTTACAGGAGAGAACTGAAGTGGGGTGAGCAGGGGGAGGGATCTTTAAATATTTTGCTAAGAAAATTTTTCAATACATTTCTACCAAGAGGGAGAAAAGGCTCCACTTACCTGCTGGAGGTGTGAGCAGAACAACAGCGCCACCTGCCTTTCACAGCAGGTATTTTCGTGTCAGTGCTCCGCCATGATAACACCGAAAGGGCTCGCCCTGGGGAGGAAGGGAGGAGAGGATGACTGAAGTTGTTTGTAGAACTCTTCTTGCTGAGGGTGGGGCAGTACTTTCTGAATGTTGCATTTTGGAGATCTAGCAAATAAATCCGTTGTTAAAACTAGATCAGAGAATTCTGTTGTCACATTTTGAAATACTCGGTTAGACCCATGTCCTGAGGGCAGAGGTTTCCTCACTGGGATTGGCATTGATGCTTCTCTCCGGAGACAGATATATAAAATTTCTAATGACCATGGAGGTGCAGCTGGCCTCATGTGACTTCACCACAGCTCCTGGCCCACTTTGCTCCTTCGTGGTACCTGCGTGGGTCCTATAGTCCCTTGAGTTTGTGACCCCTGGTGTAACACACCTAATGCCTTAATGGGATTGCTGAGCGGAATTTGAATCTTGAGGATAATGATGCATATAGGTATGCTTTTCTGGAAAGAGTACTAGTTACTCTGAACTCACGGTCTCTTGGACTTATGCTGTGCTAATAAGGCCTCAGTTTGGAAAGAAGTGTCACACACCTGGTACAGTCTCTTGCAGGTAGCCCTCTGTATTTTTATTGAGTAAAATATGATCCCTGGTGCCATGTGTCAGAGAAGTCGTTAGGCCTTTTAGTTTCCTTTAAAAGGTGGGTGACACTAAGAAGGTTGAGAATGAAGGTAAAAATTCCAAGTTTTCACAGTATCCTGGGGAATGCTGGTCTGAAGGAGACCTATAAGGACTGGCATCCTGTTCTCATCTCTTCTCCAAGTCAATATATTTTGCCTTCAAAGAACTAATACTATCTGGTACATCTACTCTACCCGTAATGATGGCATCAGTTTAAAAACGCTTTAAAAGCTCAAAGGAAAGGGGCTCGTGCTGTCAAATTTAGTTCTGGCTCTACCACTAAGCAACCATGAAGCCATGAAATGGAACAAGTTTCTTTCCAAGTAAATGTTACATAATAAATATGTATTTCTAGGTAGAAGTGATCCTAAGCATATTTTTAACACCCTTGGGCATGAAGAGTAGAGTTCCCCCATAAAGAATTGTTGCCCTCAATTTTCATTGGAAGAACAGAATAAATTGCATTATGCATCCAAAGATTTAATTGAAAGGTAATGTATGACCATGGTGGCTATGAGAGAAGCATAAGGAATTTGAAAGTCCATACGACTTCAAAGAATAAGCACAGACTAATCTTCTAAGTTAGTAAAATGATTAACTTGTGGCTCCTGTGTGGTCTTGCCACAAATCTGATTTCACCTCTAACCTCCACCCTAAGGGTAGAAATTTGCATTGAGAAGCCCAGTGAAGGGTTAAGGAGCCAGAGTGGTGGTGCCTAAATGGCCAGCTCAAGATGCCAATTTGGGTGCAGTGAACTGGTGTTAGTGATTTACTCCATTAAACCATGCCCCTTTGGGGCAATGCAAATTGAGGCAATATAAGTGATTCTAGCTTAACTGGTGCATGGACTGGGTAAAAGGTCATTACCACCTTGTCAGTGATTGGTCCAAAAATGGGCATGTGACTCAGTTCTTGGGGAGGAGACAAATACAGGATTATCAGCATTTCTATAATAATTCTTTCTCACTATTGGAAGCCATTCTTTTTGGTCTTGTATTGAATATGAACAAGAAAACATGGAAGCCTGGATTGCTGCTGGGAGAGGGAACCAACCATGGAATAAGACAAAAAGTCAATAGGGTAAAGAGAAAGAAAAAATCTGATATCACCGAGTCTACTGCCCACAAACCATGCTACCTCTTGACTTACCTAAGATATTTCTGTAGTGTTTAAGCCTAATGGATGTGCATGGTGAGGTGCCTCCTAAGTGACCTGGAGGGCAGGCATCTGTTTTCTGCTAGTTTATTCCCTGCACTGTAGATCTCAGGCTTCAAAATGCATTAAATCATATGAGGAACATGTTAAAATCCAGGACCCACCCCAACACTGATTCTATAGGTGACCAGAAGTTCTTCATTTGTAACAACCCAGGTGACTGATGCCGAGGACAGCAGACACCCAATATCCATTTCCCATTCTTTACTAAAAACAGGTTGTGTTAGGGTTGGCAAGGTGAGGTGCCAGTTAAAGTTCATTTAATAGGTGTGGACATGTGACCGTGCTTCCCTCAGTGGGGTCCCTTCCTGACTAAAAGGCAAGGCCTCCTACAGAGAAAGCTCCTTGTCTGACTGAAACGCCCACCGGATGCCCGGAGTAACCGATGATTTGCCATCTGAGAAAGTTACTGGCCAAGGATGGAGGAGAAGGCTGCAAGGAGCCTGGGTCTGTGCTTATTCCTCAAGCCGCAGCACCAGCTCTGTTCTGCCTGTTGCCAGGTACCTGGTTACATCAGAAAGATGAAGCCACATAGGTCTCTGTAAAGTGCGGCTACACCCATATCTGCTGACGCGAGTGCTCCACAGCCGCTCTGAGAAATACTGCCCTACATGCTTGGTGTCCAGAAAGTTCTTCATAAATGATTATGCTTGACTTCTTCTCTTGTGTTTCTTTCTATTATGATTTCCCCTAGAGTTGAGATTCTTGCATTCTTTCAAAGTTTTGTTGAAATGAAAAAGACAATGGAATCTAATAAGTACACCATGAAAATCAACTTTATTTGACTTTTAAAAATAAAATGAAAATAGTATCAAACAGTACTATGCAAGGTAAGATTGTTACGTCTCAACTTTGCTTTCAGTAACTAAGATTATGGAACATAGATCTATTTTTCAAGAGTTACTAAATTGGGGAGGGGACAATAACTTTGGAAAATGTTACAGGAGCACTACTTATAGCAATATCACAAATCAGAGTTTAGATTCTGTGCTTTAGATAGTAATATATTGTACAATGCTTTTAATAATTTGTAAAACACTATAACGTGCTCTCAGCTGGAGCAGGGTTTCGTTTGGTGGGCCATGAGTCTTGAGACGATCTTAACCTGAAAAATTTTTGAACCACTCGGGTTCAAAATGCAACTACTTAAAACTGGAGCTTTTGCAACAGCCCATCAATTGCTTATAAAAGAAATGCAGCAATAAATGGTTTCAGCAACTTCTAAGTAAACTCATCAGATGACCCTTCCGCACTTGAGCCAGGGTATTGGCTCAGTCTGAAACCTCACTTCTCATATCGTGTCGGCGCCATTAGTGTCCTTTTCTATAATGAGATCCAGCGTCCAACTACAAAAGAAAGTCAAAAGTAAAATATTAGACTTGTGTGCATTTCAGAAAAAAACTAATCAACTTAAGCACAACCAGAAAACTTACGAAAAGTTTCCATTTTATTATCTGGAACCTTCCCTCCAAGGACTTGGAGTGATACATTGTCCGTAAGTACATGTACATCTCTATACCATCCAACCTCAGTTTGTAAAGAGATACTACATTAATTCAATTACAGTCAATCTCTTAAGGAAAAGAGTAATATTAGGAGCGTTGAATTCCAATTAACGTGGTGACTGATTATAGGGTAACAGGAAACTTTTTTCCTAAATCAGAATGAGAATTTTTTAAAATAATGGTGGACCAAAAGAGTGACAAATGAGGAACCCAATTACTTGGCTCCCGGTTCGGTTTTCCGTTTGTGAAATAGGGTTTCTATAAGAAAGAGGAGAGGATGACGCCAGGCTGACTGCCTAAAAAGAACTACGTCGCTTTGTTTAAAAGGACTATTAACCATAAGTTTTGTCAGTGCAACTTTCTGTCCCCAAACAAACACACTGCAAACCACCTGGGTTGTCAGAAATGGCAATGGCAGGGCCAGAACTTCTTAGGGTAGCTGTCTGGTTGGGATATGGTGGGCTTGAAGCTGCATTTGTACAGCTCACCATATTCAAGGGCATGTTTATTTGGCACCATCTTTGACACCATTACTGCCGATTTCTGCATTGGCCGAGTGCCCTATTGTTTTGTCAGAGCAGCCTTCCTCTCCACTCAACAGTGGGCTCGTGCCCAGATGAGCTTTGTTAGGTGCCTAACAGAGACCCCTTGAGTAATGTGGCTACCCTCCTCCCCGCCAGACTGGCCTCTGTCTGTCCTGGCCCAGTGTGAGCAGCCCTCTCCCTCCCCAACTCTAGGCATGACTTCCAGCACATCTTGAACTTTTCTAAATTAGCCCTGATTGCTGAGGAAAGTAGGAAAAGATGCTGGGGCCAAACGTAAGTGACTCTAATAAAATGTTTTGGGGTCTCTTGTTTTATCTTAAAAATTCATGCAAATTTGTCATCCTACTCCAGAATATGTTTTCATATAGAAATGTTTTAAATAATCTAACAGTGAAATGAGTTAACTTTTTCTTTTAAAAGATCATCAAATAAAATTGACACTCTAGGAAGGTACCCATGATCAGCTGTGGCCCCATGTGTCCCCAGCACAGCATCCACACATCCATGGGAAAGGCACACTCCAAAGGAGAAGCATCAATACTTAGATGTTAATGGCCCTTCCCGCCCCTAATCCCAGAGACCTCTACTTTTGAACTAAATATCAGGGGAAGGGGGTGGAGGGTAGAAAGTGGGAAAGGTGGGGGGTGGGGGGCAAAATGGCAGCTTCTAAAAATATTCTATAATTTTAATTATTTATTAACTCAGGTGAGCTAGATCCTGGATTTTCCAATTCAGTGAGTTTCCACTAAGAGTCTCTTTTTCACCACCTACATTTTGCTATTTGACTTCAGCTGTGTAGTTTCATATTCACACTAAGAAAAGTCTGACTCAAGTACCAAGTTTATTACCTCATCTTTTCTCTTCCAGGTTTGATCTCTGCTGGTCACTTGAGGACCAGTGTTGACTGAGCCTGTTCAAACACATGCATCAAACAAAAATTAAATCCGGAGTTTAAGAATAAAAGTAGCAGAAGAATATTTTAAAATACCAATTTGCTTTCTCCCTGTAGGTCTCCCTTTCTCTTCCCTTTTAAATGGGCTCTTCCTTCTCGCAGGGAGATTTGTTAATAGGCTTCCATAAGTCCAATAGGGGACTGAGAAACTCACATGACAGCAGGCAGGTCAGACACGTGATTAAAGTGGGCTGGATATAAGACAAGAGGGAGCGGTGTGGACAGCACCTGCTTCCCCAGTGGGAGCCAGCTGGTACTCAGCTCTGATTGTTGCCACATACAGAAATGGGG